TTGTTTAACTAAAAAAATAATGAAGAACAGTTTGCGTTAAGATTTTTAAGGTAAGTTAATTTAAATACAATACGTGTTGTGCGTGCACTTGGCGCCTTTTTTACCTTTTTTTGAAAAGGTAAGTTTTTCGAGATATCACACATTCTGTANTTGTAAAAAAATACAGGTTTTATAGAGAAAGTGTTAGTAGTGTGTAAAAAATAACGTACAACAGTTTACTTGGTGCTACTTTTTGATATCACTTCTTTTGTAAAACAGAAAACAGATTTTTACAGATATAATAAATAAATTTAATCTCACCAATATATATATAATAACACATTTATTTATTTATTTTTTCCAAGAAAAGAATATAAACATTTGTAGCATTTTTTGGCCAGTGTTGTTTTNTAATTTGTATATCATCAATTCCAATCCAGCTAGATTTTCCTTCTCTGCACATACTTGTATAATGATTGTTTTCAATACANAGTCCATTATTAAATATGGCATTTATTACTTTATATAGCTGTCCATTTATTGACATTATAATTACACTCAGTTCTAAATATCATTGATTACATTTGTCAAATAAAATCCTGACAGCAGCGATCAGCAGACAAGTGAACACTAGATGTTGAGTGATTGATTTTAACTACAAAGCAGGTTATTTTGCTGAACGCAACGAATAAGATCGCGCCATATAAGTAAGTCACTATAATGCATAACCAATCAACGGGCAGTACGAAATGTCACAGACGCGCGCGTAGCGCTACAAAAACAAAATGCACTTTAGTTATTAGTTATATTATATATTAACCAAAAAAACTTCTTGTCTTGTGCTTCAATAATTTTAACTTTAAGGTAAGTATTTTTTCTTAATGAATCTTCCAATTTTATCTTTAAATACGTAATAATACGTAAAAATAAAAAAAATACGTAATAAATAAAAATAAAAATCTTGTTTTAAATGTTTTTTATATGTTCAGCACAATGGCACAGAAAGACTATATCGTGGACGTGCCGATGGAGGACGCCGAATTAGAAGAACAAATTTAAAAAATTGAAATAAAATCCGAAGAAAATGAAGCATTAAAAAAAGAAAATCGTAGACTCTACGAGAAAATAAAAATGTTACAATACCACATGGCAAAATATGAGAAAATAAGTACTGGAAAGGAGAATTAGGAAAATACGAGTAAGTATATTATATAAATATATTATTTATTTTAACATATTGTTATTTAACATAAATCACTTGCTTTAGCATAATTATATTATGCAACTAGACAGGTTATATAAAGATACATTTGATTTCAGACAATCAACAAGATCCAGGAGAAGGAACTTCACAAGGAAACCGTAAGTAATATATAATATTTTTTCATATACATATTACACATACGACTCACTTTCATACAAGTAGACAGATTGGGTTAGGTTAGATTAGAAGATACATCCAATCTCTAACTAACCTAACCCAATCTGTCTATATAAAGATGAGTCTATGTATGTGTATACATATTTATATATATATATATATATATATGTATTATTATTATTATATATTACATGATTATTATATTTGCAGAAAAGAGAACAATAACAGAACAAAACAACACAAGTGTGGATGAATCAACACAAGATATTCAACACAAGCGTAAGTAAATAAGAAAAATACACATATATACATATATATACATATATATACACATTACATATATACACATATGATTTTTTATCTGTTTAGGCAAACGAG